GGAGGCGGGAGTCAGGAGGAGGGCGCAGCGCCGCCAGCCTCGGGGACGGCCTGAGAGACGTGCCTCACGTTCCTGGAGACGGGTGCATCGTACACCGCGCAGCTGGTTCAGAGCAGAACCCGGCGAGCGTTCGCAGCGCTCGTCGCCGTCCCGCCGGCCGAGGCGCTTTCATTCCAGCCGCGCGCAGTCTGCCGGCTGCCTGCGGAGGAGGCTGGGCGGGGCTGCCGAAGGTCCGGGACCCTTTAAACCGCAGCCGCAGAGCCTTTAAGCTGCACGCCTCCCGGGGATGCAGGAGGAAGAGCGGGGCTGCCTACCCAGCGGTATACGATCGCACGAGAGCACAAGAGCAGTGACACTCACACACACTTACACACACACACACACACACACACACGCCCTATCCCCTAACCAACCGGGGAAGAAATAGGGGGACTTTCTCCTGACCCCTGGAGCCTCATCTGCAAGACAAGAAAAACCAGTAGAGATTGGTTAACGCTGGGAAGTCGCAGCCTCTCATAGTCAACTTTGACAGCGGAGTTGATGCTGAGAGAAACGCTGAGGATATTCCGGCCCTAAAATTCTATTCATTTGTAAATTCTCCCTTAGGAAGAGTTGCTGGGGGAGTAAAATGAGTTGCGTTATGGTAAAATATATATAAATTGACCGTTTTCATCATTTTAAGTGTATAGTTCAGTGTACACTGACATTTAAGTGTAGTTCACTGTCAGTAAGTATATTGACATCGTTGTGTGCTTATTTTTTAATCATTAGTTAAAATGTCAAGGAGAGCCTGGCCGGGGTGGCTCAGCGGTTGAGCATCGACCTAAGATCCAGGAGACCGGGGTTTGATTCCCCTGCACATGCGGGGGTTGAGGGCTAGATCCCCGGTAGGGGGCGTACAGGAGGCAGCCGATCAATGACTCATCGTTGATGTTTCTATCCTCTCTCCCTCTCCCTTCCTCTCTCTGAAATCAGTAAATATATATATATTTTTTAAATGTCAAGGAGATCTAAGTATAGAAGATATGCCCTAGTAGTAGGCAAACTACTGCAGGAATTAAGGTTGTTTCTTCAACTGAAATAAACCATCCAGTACCACCACCACCAAACCTGATTGACTTTTCCAGAAATGACTTCATAAATACAGTGATTGTTTAGCAGCCATACACACAGCTACTGTCTACAGGCCATTTGGGGAGACTAATTCATCATGTCTAGGTAGAAAACAAAATTTTTCTGAATTGATTCTCCAGCTGTTTCTGTATACATACTTTATATGTCAAAATTATAAATGGCCACATTGCTTTTAAAATAATAAATGCTGCTGAAATCCACTCTCCTGCCCTTTTTCTACGTGGTCTTTAGCCACGTCATAGTCCACACCCTTTAACTAGGATCACAACTGGGCCCTGGCTTGCCTTTCCAACCTGACCTAACAGTCCCTTAAACATTGACCAAAACAGTCACTCATGTTAACTAACTGGGGTCCATACCAGTCACTCATCTGCCTCTGTGATTTAGATTAATCGGCAACTTTAGTACAAAAGGCTTTTCCCCCATCCCTACATTTCTAAATCATACCTATCCTAGATGGTAACTCATCTGCCCTAAAAACTCAGTAAGGATACATGTCTTGGAATTTTCAAATTTTATGTTTCATTGTTTTATGTCATTTTTGTATGTCAGGATAAAAATCTGAAATATTAACTGAAGTTCCTCACCCTATAGCTCTGCATGCACACATAGATTCCATGTCTTCTAACCCTAGACTTATACTCCTCCTAGACAGCTAGGGCATGTCCTTCCCTGCCTCAGGGAGAAAGAAGGCAATTCTCAGAGGTTTGTTTAGTAGACATTTGGAGCTCATGGCAGTGACAGTAGTCTCATAAGTCAAAGGTGTTGGTTTGGAATAGCTGACTTCATAAGTTTTAGCTCCTAAAGAGCTGAAAGAAAAAAGAAATTAGACCGCAAACAACATATTAGTCGGTTTTGCTGTAAAAGCAAACAACTCCAAAATCTTAATGGCTTATAGCACAAAGGTTTGTTTCTTGCTTGGATTACATGCTGTGGGGCAGCTCATAGGTCTTATTCCAGATCCCAGGCAGAAGCAGCAGCTGCTGTGTGTGACCTGACAGTTCTCATGGCAGATGGGATGAGCCGAAGAGCTGTGGGAAACATGTGAGGACTCCAAGCTGCTTCTGCAATGTCTTAACATGTACACTCAAAACCCATTAACCAATGCCTTTCATATGGTCAAATCCCAAGTCAATGGAGAAGTCTACTGCTTCTGTAGCCAAATCACATGGCAGTGGACATGGATTATAATTTTTCTTACAGAGTGGTGATGGGGGGGTAATTGTAAACAATAATGTAATCTGCTATAAATGCAAGGAAACCAATTTTCTCACCCTAGAGGTATTGATGTGTATCCCCAAGAAGAGCCTTGTACCTCCCCACACCCCCAGTCTATGGGATTCGCTTCTTTTGAAAGAAGCTGTGGAGCCCGGTCAGCACAACTCAGTGGTTGAGTGACGACCCCTGAACCAGGAGGTCACAGTTTGATTCCCCGTTAGAGCACATGCCCAAGTTGCTGGCTGATCCCCAGTAGGGGAAGTGCAGGAGGCGGCCAATCAATGATTCTCTTTCATCATTGATCTTCTCTCTTTCTCCCTCTCTCTTCCTCTCTCTGAAATCAATAAAAAAAGGAAGGGAGG